AAAAAAGAAATATAGCTGTGGTCAAAAATACATTTTCCCGATTCCAAGCTTTTCTGACACAGCGGCACTTTCAGAGATTTTTTTTTCTAGACATCTTTCAAAAAGCGATCTCATTGATGCAAAATTGGCATGTGAAAGATTAAAAAGCAACCCAATGAACGCAATGCGGACGCAGTGAGTTTGGGTAACGGTGAGCTTCCAAATGCACCAGTGAACCTTACAATCTGAGCAAAACGTTTTTTTCTTAACTAGGAGAGTGGGAAGCAGATTGAATCTGGCAGTCTACAAATTTCAAACCATCGAATATTATGCCATATTTGAGTGCTCAAAACTTGAATATTCAAATATGACAGAAACTAAGTAACCTGTATGCAACATGCCTTCGAATACAAAACCCGGCAGCCACACGGTTCAAATCCAATACTTTCATACCACCTAAATTTTAAACAATAAAATTGAGCCATATATTGAAAAACGAATATATGAACAGTCTCTGACCTGGCGAAAATTCCTCAATAGCACTGTTCCATTTGCTTATATGCTTCAACTTATTCTCTATACTGGAATCGAGCGTCGCATACTCAGTCGGAACTTGGCATATCAAGGCATTTCGTAGAGCATGAACACCGGCATCTGTTCTAAGTAGTGAAATCAAGAATCGGAAGCATTTGAGGCAAAATGTGAAGTACAAATGATTACGACAAATCTTTCTTCATTCACAACGCTCAGTCATTCCTCAATAAAAAGAAATATCTTTTAAGTCGAGTACTTCTGCAAATATGAATAATCCAAAAATACCTGCTGCTAGGTGAGATTCTCAAAGCATTGCGAAGAGGATGCATGTAAGGCCTAGCACCAAATAAAGAGTCGGCGATTGCCTAAAAACTAACTTTAAAAACACTCAAGCAAGTAGGTAATGCTGAAGCATAAAAATAAATTAGTCCTTCACATCCACATAGTGAGAACATAAATTCTTTGTCAACCCTTTACCTTTAAGTGCCAGCACAATAATAAAGATTCGACTTTTCTAGAAAAAAAATTCTGATCTATTGTGCACCGTAACGAGAATCCAGCTTTAAGAACAACAGTCAATGAAGAAATCTCGTATCAGCGGTGAAAGGAACTCTAGATGTTCCACTTGAATAAATGTTGATCAATGGGCGAACAGGTAAAACATGCGACGTCGAGCAGCGCTTTTGAATAATGTGAAGTAATAAGGTCAGTAGAGGAATAGAAGGCCGAGAGTTCAAAAGATTCAGAAAAAACTAGAAACAGAACAACCGATATGGATCGATGATGCGGCCTGCTGTTCAGAAGTGCTGTAAAACGTATGTAACTAAAACTTATGTGCTGGCAGTCTTGAATCTGCTAAGGCTCAATGTAGGGTATAAAAATTGAAGAAACTCCATTTAATGAGCTGAAGTAATCTGACAGCCGTCTAGTTGAATTACCAAGCCCAAAAATAGCACTGCATGTAGATCCCGCATAGAAAGGTCAGGCCAAGGAAAAAGAGAAGTACACCGGTCTCACCTGACGTAGCATGTCCACCACGCCAAATCCTTTGCCTCCAGTTGCCATTTCGGAGAATCGTGATCCATCATAGCTAAATGAGAGCAAGGAGTTAGAAAGGATCAGGGAGGAAAGCGACCACCGATTACACATTAACTTACCTGATGAACATTAAATATCGCCGGACGGCTGGATTACCCAGCCAAACAGGAGTGGCGGCCATGAGACTGTTCTGCAGCCTAAGTTTCGCAAAGCTTTTCTGAGCAGAGCACTACGCTAAAGTGTATATAAAAATAGAGAGGAAATAGTCATATAGCCTCAGCCCTCTTGAGTAAAAAACTCAACGTCAACGATTCCTCAGTCTCTGACCAACAACCTCCAGGTATAAAAGGCCCAAAAACCCAAAAACCCAACTCAAAGAAAACAATTGTGAGTTTCAAGCTTTATTTCATAACCAACAAAAATCTACTATTTTTTACAATCAAATAACTGTACAAGAACAACAATACTACGCAACATATTGATACAGATTGGGATCTTCGTCACATCTTCGTAAATAATCTCTTTCCATGAGCGAACCTATTCGTTTCTTCAAATCGGTTGCTCGTACCGGGAATCTGAAAAAATGAATGGGGTAATTATGGAAAGTACTATTTCACATAAAACAGAGGCCTAGAAAAACAATCACCTGAGTTGCGCAAACAGCTCTGAGATCAACAACTGATGGTTAAGCTTTTTTCGTGTCTTCATCACACGAACAATTGCTGCATCGATTTGATATTGACGGTCCTGATTGACCTCCTCTTCGACGGCTTTGTATTCTTCTTCCTGTAACTCCGAGCTCAACGAGACTAACGCAAACATAGGAGAAAAAGAAAATGGTACCACGAACTGACCGTTTCCTTCATTTGAACTTCAGAAATGCGAATCCTGAAGCGCATTTCCTTTATGTCGGTGTTCACCGTGAACACATCATCATCATTGATCTGGAAAAATCGGAAACAAAATGAGAAATAAGCTTTCTGGTCGTAAGAAGTGCAGGAAAAATTCCCTTGACAGCCATGATTAAGGAACGCAGCGCTTAAGCAGAATATGAACAGGAAAAAACGCTCTTCTGAGTTACCTCTTTATTCATAGGTGTTTTGAGAAGAACACGAACTTTGGCCACAGAAAGCGAAACCATCGTACGTATAAACTCTTTCTGCTCTGGAAAGATACTCTTTGCAACAACTTCTGATAATTACAATCTCAATCAATGAACATATACCCACCCAGTTTCGTGGCCATCATGATATCCGCAGCCGTCCACGACGGCTGATCATTGAAGAGTAGCAAGACAATCGCTTGGAACAATGACACTTTTAACTCCTTTTGACACTGGAAGAAATAAAAACAACGATTCGAAAAGAAAAAATCCCTCCAAAATACAAAATCCGATTATTGACAAACCCCTCTGCGGAAATTCGCTTTCAAAACACATTGGCCGAGACGTGGTTGCCATTGAAGCTTCCGACCGGTATGCCGGGAATCGTAAAATTTCTCGTAAAGCTGCAGGGAGGAACTCAAGTGATGAGGTAGGGTAACCTGCAATACATACTGATACTACTGCGTGAGAATTTGATACACTCAAAATCTTTAGCAGCGTAAAAAAGAGAGTATGCTAACGAGTGGCAAAAATTCGAGCACTCAAGCCCTTCATGATAAAAAAGTAAACTTGAAATAGTTCATAAACAACTTCTTATTGTATAAACTATAGAAGCTCAATAATTAAGAAGAAATGCAAATGAAAACAACCGAGAAGATGGCAAAATCGATGTTAAAAAAGCGAAGAAAAATTATCGGAGGGCAGTAACAAATCGAACGCTCTTCCAAGACGGAGCTACCAAGAGTATTAGGGTAAGAGGTACTCGATTACTTATCGATTACTTACGCTTACCTGATTGATGGTCTTCGAGATACGGAATCCAGTTACCTTACCTGAATGTTGTCGTAAGCCGGCCACTGTCCCATCGTAAGAACGTTCACGCTGCACTCGACGCAATCGTCATACCGTCCCAAAGAGCTTTCATGTTGGATGTACTAAAATATATAACACATCGTTTTGAAAAGAATCACAAATATGAACTTTTTCGTTTCTTGCGCTGGTAATGAATACTAAATTTATTCAATATCAGCAGAGTGAACAAGAAAAGTGACTCGCTATTTAAGGCCTAACACTTTTTAACACTATACTTAAAGACAGTATGAAGCAAACAAACAAAAAGTAAACTTTAAATTCCCCTTTGAACTTCAAGTTGTAAATGAATCGAACTACTAAAAAACTTACATTTCTGAATGCAACTCCGAGATCTTTCGACAGCTCCATATCCCGAAACATGCCCTCGAGTTTCTGAGTGAAACCAGCGCCACACTCTATAATTTTGAAGCTGTACTTCGAAACCGAAACAGATCTCAAAAAAGAAACTAATTCTTCAAAATTTGAAAAGTTTGGTAGTTTAGTTTTGCTTAAGTGCTGACTCCAAGAAGTCGAGTCGCAAAGATCCTACAGTTCCCGAAAAAGCAGATCACCGAAGATGTTCTCTATAGTGGGTTATTCGAAATAAATCAAAACGGCAAAGCAAAACGGCTGGTGATACATAGATATATGGTAATTTATTAAGGCAAAGCTATACAGAGCATGGAAAAAACCACACACCTTGCCTCAGCTTACTCAACATGATCTTCTCAGCGTCGACAGATGCACTTCGACCAAGCAACAGTCGCTTGGCCAGATCCTTTTTGTAGAACACCTCGAAAACGTCCTTTCCTGGAAATGGAGATAGATTCGAACAATGAAAAGTACAAGGACGTGATTTTGACTACGAATGAAGCTTATAAAAAGAATAAAACCCTGAGACCTTGATGGACCTTCCAATTTCGATTCAAAATCGTCTATTTACTTCACTAACCTTGGATGAAGCGGAATAAAGTGATCACTTTGTTCATAAGTTGATCCAGCTGCTCATCCGAAGCCTCCTTATTCGCGCTACGTAGTCTTGCATCCATGTATTTCGCTATAACGTTTCATGTTTGAGCGAGTAGTTCCGACAAGTTGCGAGTGATAGGTAATCGAAAGAGAAAACTTTACGCGCACCTATCAGTTCTGCTGGTTTATTTCCGCGCGTATTGATGAAGTAATCGAACGCGTCCTTCTCAGCTTGAGCGAATTTCATCTTGTCGTCAGAAGACCCGAAACAAGTTTCGACTGAAATCTACTCGTATAGAAGTTCTTCACATAAATCTTAGCATTCTGCAACCCACCGAAGACATCCAGTTTATCTTTGAAAGCCATTAAATCCTCAACCATCGTAGGATCTCGTTGAGGATCCATTATCATAGATTTACCAACTTTCTGTAACAACGGTAAATAGCAGTAGTAAGATGAGCAGACTGTTATGGGCTGTGAAATACCTTGATATAGGAAGAAAATCCTGTCTTGAGCAAAGCAACTCCCCCATCGACCCGACTTAGGAGAGAGTACAGCCGTGAAACATCGCTCACACGATTATCATTTAATAATAGGGAGAGACCTAAGAAGTCTCTATGACCATAAATCCTCGACTATCATTGTGGTTCGACAAAACGCACTCACCATTGTCCACAACTTCCTGCATATGATCGCTGATGAGGCACTTTTCAGCTCTCGTCAATAGAGGAGTTCGAGTGCCTTCGTCAAGGTACAGATCGACTCGTTCGTTTTCCTCTTTGATTCGTCGTTCAACATGCAACAGAAAGTCCACCGTCTGGAACGTTAGTAACAATTCTCGTTTTTGTACCACAGCAATACAACATTTTCAAAGAATAGTTGGCAATATCAGCTACAGTAGCGCCCATAAATAAGGAGGTCATTCTCCAATCAGATTAGAGTACGCAACCGCTGCATCAAGCTCGCTAAACACTAGAAATTTTCTTTCTAAACCTGTCTCCATTAAATTTTCAGAGAAAATTGAACCTCAATGATGTAGTGAAAAAGAGGGTTTGTAAGAACTGAAAAGTGCACGGCTCATTAAGCTGGGAAGAGTAGCAGACAGTGACTAGTGAAAGAGTTTACATAAGGTGTGCGCATTAATTTCCGCCGCCGACTTCAAAGGGTCGTGGTCGTTGCGCGGACCGTGTTAGAGGTTTGCTGGTGAAACCTGTCATGTTCTGTAAGGTAGGGTATTGGCTACCCTTTCAAGGGCAGACGGATCAGTTTTTCCCCAAATTCCCCTTGTTCTCAGACTGATTGGTCATGGAACGTGATAAACCGTTTTCCCGGGGNCGAACCTACTGAGATGGTTTCTCTTCATTCGAGAGTTTGCAACGAAGGCGGAAAGCAAAAAGTAATGCTGTGTGTGCATTTGGTGGTAGGATCAAAAGGGTGTTTCGAACTATGAGCTCTGAGCCCGAATGAAACTGTTTCTGCTGACCGCTACGAACACCAACTTGACAGTTTGTAGCATGCTCTCACGTAAAAGCGGCCGTTCATCGCGAGAAAATATCATGAGGTGCTGTTCCACCGCGGACATGCCCAGACCCCATGTTGCGAAGAATGTCCTTAAAAAAAATTGCAGTTGTTGGATGGGATCAGCTTGTTCAACCCGCATACCCTACGGATCTTGCTCTTTCTGATTACCACCTATTGCGGTCCATGCAAGTCAGTTTGGCAGATACACGCTGCCGGAATGCCGAAGAAGTGCGAAAATAGGCGGATGACTGGATTGCCTCAAAAGATGAAGACTTTTTAGACGCGGAGTCAACAAGATACCAGAAAGATGGCAAGAGGTTGTAGCTCACGATGGGCAATACATTGGTTAATGTACATTTGGTTTCAATTTTGTAATAAATATGTTTCTGCACGCAAAAAACGACGGAAATTAATGCACACACCTAATATATACATATATATATATAATTAAAAGACCAAAAACTCTATTGAATGGTCTCAGAGACTCTTGTATTTCATTGAGTAACGCTTCACGTAACAAATAATATTATTAGAATGGAAAGCACACTGAAGGGAAGCTACACACTGTTTTGGCAGAGTAATGGGTACGCTCACTACCCAGAACGCTGAATTGCAGAGGTGATATGTCCTGGCTCAAATTAAGCAAGCTTTTTGTAACTATTCAAATATCATTCAATATTACAATATACTCACCTCGAGTGACCTCACAAGTGTCATACTTTCATGTGTATAATGAACAGTCGTGCTCGAAAGAAAATCATCTTCGAACGCCTGTAAGAAAAGAAGTGAATTGAGGAAATTACGAGTATCATGTGCAAGTCTTTCAGAACTCAAAAATACACAATTATTCATAGTCTGCTATCACAGAATAATGTACAGAAATTCTTGTTTGCAGAAAAGAAGAAAGCAAAGTATGCTAATTGCATTGTAGGTGATTGCTTACATTCTTCTACGAATTGTCAGCAACTACAACTACCACGAGAGCTGGGGAAGCTGTTTGGAGGCTTACGAAAATTCGGGCAATATACAGTTAAAATTGAAAAATTCACCTGCTTATATAGATCAAGCGTTCGTAACATTCGAAGAAGAGCTCGCAATAAATAACGATCTACCTGAAACAAAAAAGTCCAACGTCTTTTTAGTGCTTCCTGCTCCGGCTCAGTCGTGTTGAACAAAGTGTACACTTGATTAAAAAGAGTCGCTCTGCTGACAACTCAACTATGACGATTCCAAAATCTCTCAAAGTNAAAAAAATTGGTTGAAAAACAAATCCGATAATGGTGAAGAGATTCATCTGAAGGAAACTAAAATTACCTGATTTCCAGCTCTTTCTTCAGCAATTCTATCCAAAATCCCTCCAACCAACTTTTTTAGTACACTCCCGTGCAATATAATTTCCTCGCGGAAGATTACCAGCGAAGATTCCCTTAATTGTAGAAGTAATGGGAAATCGATTCGGGAATAAGTCAGTCACATGAATAAACAGTGATGAATAACAGAAACGCACCAAATAGGAGACTCGTCTATGTTTTCTAGAATAAAGGTTCTATCCAGATATAAAAATACGTTACGAATGAGAATCTGAAAAGAAAACTGATAAGGCAAAAATTGAAATTTTGGTCTGATTTGGTATACTTTACCATTTGTTCACAGTAATCACTCCACAGATTCTCTATCGCTTTCATGAATTCTACTCCTCCAGCTGCACACTTTTCATTTAGTTCATTCCTTTAAAGAAGAGAATTTATGTGGATTCCAGATTGAAAGTAAAAGATACGAGGAAAAACAGACAAATAGAGGGCAGAAAGCACAACGAGACTAATTTTGTACCTAAATCGGCCGATCCACTTCCGAATATTATCCAATAGCTTGTCGTATGTGGTTCTTGCCATTTTATTTTCACACAAAGAGGCAACAACCTAAAGACAGTGAACCTTCGACTCAACTAGAAAGAGTTTGAAAACCATTGACGAACTCCTATGAACTAGCGAGACACCTTGTAAAGCTGCTCCAGGTTCGTTGCAACATGTTGTTTGGTTTGAATAGCATTTATGCTTGCTTCTAACGTTAGCCATCCGGTTGCCATCAAATCAGCAACATCGTCATTCTTTCCTGCAAGAACGTTCTTGATCAGATCAGACTTTTTTGATGGATGCTGAGTCTACATTCTCAGCATACCAGGGAAGATAGAGCAAAAGTTCAATAACGGCTATTAATTGACGTTCAGCTCCAGCGTAAATTCACCACTAATCGAATACAAAGTTTAGAAAAAGGGAGCATATTATCTAAATAGCTGACAATAATTTATACTACCTTTTACATCAAAACTCACTTCGAAAATTCTTAATAGTCAGCTTCTTCACTGTAGGCAACCCCCGAGAAATTTGCCGTGCTGCCCTTGAATCCACCTTAAACAACGAGTTCATATGAGTTCATATGAGTATGAGTATTTACATTTATAAAAGCCATAATGAGCACAGAAGCACACGATAATGAAATGAAATGGCTGAATTTACCACCACAAGCCACAGAAAGTGTAATCAGTCAATTCCATCAGCTTCCAGAATACATATATTCAAATTAAAATTGATGATCTAAACTGACTTGAAACTCACCATATTCTCATTTGTATCATCACATTCTTTCTCGTTCTCGAAGTGCTCTACGTTGGGGCCGTCAATAAGCTGCTCGAACATGTACTCGGGCTCGCCCTCGCTAAACACATTTCGGTACATCTCCGCCGATTCCTCGTCGCTCATTACTTCATCGCTTAGATCGGACATCTTCGATCGCTTCGATTGTAACTGGAAGATCGACACAAAGTTCGAGTGGTGTTTGAGTTGCAATAGAAACGTTCTTTAAACTCTTCACAAAGCGTCCTGAACGACACGTGACGTGGTTTACAACAGCACTATGTCAGCTAAATAACTATACCGCTCGATAGCACTGTTAACTATTAGCTGAACCTGTTCTACTGATAACAACATTAGATTTATGTGAAAATTTGCGGTTTAAGAAACACTAGATATTTTCATCATATGATTTTGCCGATCAAGTGAAAGNNNNTTACACTTTTAGAGCAAAACTCTCTAATTGAACCCGACTAGTGTGATTATTCCCGGATCAGTTGAAGTAAGAAAAATCACAAATCACAAAACACCCCCATACATTAACAGCACAGGCCATCTAAAACTGAAAAAATAGCTCTAGTCCTATGAACGGATTTCCTTCGCGAAACAATCCATTTCGAAGAAAAACCTTCGGAAAAAAATAATTCGATCAAGTTAAATAATTCTTCGAGAAACAGTGGCCTGGTTTCACCGATAACCAACAAAACAAATAAAAAACATTAAAAAACCAAAATAGAGTAAGAAAGTTCAATTGCCAAGTGATTGCAGTAAATGCCTATATTGGACTGATAATTTTTGGCCTTCAGTGATTTTTAGGCACATTTAGTCCATAGCTCTCATCCAATCTAACAATCAAAGAGCTACAATATTAGCTGGAAGTGTAATAAAAGCAAAAAAAGAGAGAAAGTTCCAAGAAAGCGCACACAGGAGAGGATTCTTAATACTTAATTTTCTAATACTACGGATCAAATCGGTCAATCACAGCCTTCGTTATCAAANGGTCCACGACGATATGGCATGTCAATGTCTATGGATCAATCACTAGTGGTGCTATGCGTCATTCTGCTCTTCATGCTTTGTAAAGCTCCATGAAGAAGGGTAAGGTTCTCCCCCTTACGTTCTCAGTTTTTGTCAGCAATAAAGAAAGTTGCAAGCGCGACAGAGACAACCGAATTGTTAGTTAATGTGATATGATCATAAAATAGCCGAAAATCCGTTCCATTGCAGGAAACCGTCAGAACGACCCTCCTACTATGTCAAATTTTTTAAAAACAAAATAAAACAATAGCATAATGTCCCTGACAAATCTTTTATGCGTATTTGCTGCTGTATGACACCATTTAAGAAAGAAATCAGAAAAAGCACTGATGCTGGTCAAGAAACGGTTATATATAGGTGGACTTCCCGGTTGGAGGCTAGACATGATTATACATGGAATTAGCTCCTTACAAGTAGAAACCTGCGCACTGGTGGGTAAAGTTGAGCAAAACTTGGTCCCATAAAGTCCAGGGAAGCCTAAGCGGAATTATCGAGGGATTCCTATGACTCTGATTCTTTTTCGAATGAATTCTGAGCATACACTACCTGAGGTAAGGTAGGTTATCGGAAAATTCGGCCAGCGACAGGGGATCCATTGTCTACACATCGACCCGTACCGGAGAGATTATCAGCGATTGGGCATTCTCGACCACTCATCGATGAAAACTCGGCTGCTCTATTTTATGTATCGCCATGAGGTGAATTAAGACTGGTGGAGTTTGAGGAAAAGATCACTGCAACCGAGGGATTGATAGGAATCGGAATGAAGTTTCATCACGTCGTCACCAAAACTAAAAAGATCAGATCGACTTCGAAATTTCAGTCACTGAGCTCATGATGGGAACTTCGGAGACGAAAGCACTTGCGATAGTACTCTTCATTTCAACATAAATCAAGCCAGACCGTAATTTTAACGAAGACTTGGAGAGCAACTTATAGAAATAAGTATAGTAAGCAGTCAGTCACGGTGTGAATTGTCAGAAGAGTATCAACGTTGACAGAATAAGCAAAAGGGCATCAGAGATTGAGCATCACTAGACCAGGTACCCTCCAACAGCATTCATGCATCTATGAAGCCATACTCATCCTAAGCCTAGGGGAAGAAGATTCTTCATTCAAATGATCATCTACAGCGATCAGAAACTTGAAAGTTTTCCCAAATCTCCTCGTGAAACACATGAAACAGTTTCCAATGCATAGTTACTATGGAAGAGACTTTAGATGTATGATTTCGGCAGCTTTAACTATATTGCCCAAATTTGTGGTCAACATTTGCTTCTGCATTGTAGGGGAAGGCGTAGTGCACTCAGCAAGCTCTGTGGCTCGACGTGTAGAATCTTCTAGTCACATATTAATTTATACATATGAAACCATAACTGGTAAACGGTACTGTTGAGTACAAGGAGGTGAAGTACGTGAAGAAAAGGATGTTTGGTTCACGTGGATACGCTTTACATGGGCACTAGAGCCCAAATTCTAAAGGTGTGCAAATATCTTTGGAACAACACCTAACAAAAACATTGTTTTCTATTACTTGAAAAGGAAGTTCTAGAGAAGTCTAGCGAGGGTACTCTGACTAAAGCATGCTTCAACAGAACGCATTCAATCCCCAACCATGATTTCGGTTTTTAAAGGGTCATAGTTGAAAACCATGATAACTTCTATTTGGCATGGCTAGAAAGTTACGAATCAACCAATTGTAGAAGTGGTTCAAGGTATAGCAGACGTGATCCTGAATTACCGGGCCAGTCCTGAATTACCTGTCGATTTCTGGTAAGGCATTAAGTTTACCTACAATCAGAAACGTACCGGAACGGTTTGGATCGGTGGAAAAACGGAAAGTGAACGCTTTTGTGCGCCTTTCTGCAAAACGAATGTAGCTCTGGGAGTGACGTTATCAGTAGATTGCGAATTTGACTTTACTTCTACGCCAGTGTCTCCGTGAGTTGTTGATTGCATCCAAGAAATAACCTGAATTTCTCGTTGTCCATCAGTTTGGAATAGCTTGTATGCACAACTCAAGCGCAATAAAACAGAAGAGAGTCAGAATTGGGGACATCAATCCTATCCAGAATTATCGTGAAACGAATGCTTCAAAAAAGCCACTAGACGACTTGGGCGCAAATGCCGCAATTGCACTGCTTCGTAATTGAGGAATATTACGACGTATAATGCGATATTATAACATTCCAACTTCATACGCCGTACTTAGAAGAGTTACTCGCATGAAAGGTTAATTTCTGAGAAGACCAAAAGCTTTCATGGACAGGGATGACCACTTCGTATGACTATGACGTCTAGTGAGCTGTGTCGGAACGGGTGCAGACAAAACATTCTATTCGACGACTATTGTACAAAGAGTCGACTCCCGCTTGCGTTCTGGCGGTACCATACATTTCGCAGCTGCGGCTTTTTTATGGTTCGAAACTTGGGTCTGCATATCGCAGGAACTATTCGTAATTCTACTCCTTGGAAGCTACTCAAATCCATATTTATTTGCATGTAAAAGTCATGTTTTTTATTACATATCGGAGCGCATTCACACTACCTGCGTTTTACCGCAGTCTAGTGCGTTTTTACGCAGAAAAAGGCGTGGAAGGTTTCCGGGATAGAAATTTTGGCTAGTCTCCTTGGTCCACTGGTCTTTCGCTGCTTTTATACTTTACTTTACTTACTTTTACTTTTATACTTTTATGCTTTCACGGGTCTTGTGATATCCGGCTTAATTATAGGCTCAAACCTGGCTAAAACGTAGTTGGGGGAGCCAATCAATCTGCTGCCTTGTCTGCACTCTCTCATGAGATAATATCCTATCGAGCGATCGCTTTGCCACTTCAACTTTGCTCAAAGGGTCGCCGTCTCACTTTTTTTCCTCCTTAACTGATGTGAGACCAAAAACTCTATCTTATCTAACAGCTCTGAGTCGTTTCTAAGTTCCATTACACGGCACCTTTCCTGTCTTCGACTCAGGCACAGTTGCCGAGCCCATTGGAGATTCACGATCAAATCAAAGCAAATTTTATGGTGGACCACCATTCTTACTTTTAGTGAGTAGCTATATGGCGCTGCTGTGACGGAGGAATGTCTAGAAAGGACGCATTGATGGTTCGAAGTCTGCTAACCCTAACTTACCAAAGAGATTGTAGGGGTAGAGAAAAGCCAACCTTACACCCTTATTGAGCCATTTTAAGACCGCTTTCGACGAGACAACGCCATTTATTTATTCATTTGCCTTGCCCTCTAGATTGCTTTCAGGAGACAGTGCAGAAGTAAACAAACAAACATATTGGCTACGCATCGATATCCTTCCGTAACCGGAGCGGGATTCAAATTCGCTTTACTGTAAACTGGCCTTTTAACATTGCTCTAGTGAGCCAAAGGGTTTGCGAAAAGGAGCGTGTCGGCCAGTTGTGACCGTTTTACATTCAAACACATGTACAACTAAAAAACTCAACTTTTTCCTAAACAAAAACACCTTTCACATTTGAACTGACCACGCCTTTATTTCTTAAAACGATAACAGTGCAGTGAACAGTTCATATATTTCGAGCGTATGCCAAATCGAAATATAACGGCCCTAAAACCGAGAGACTTCAAGGTGGTGGTGGTGGTGGAGGTGGATTGTCGCCAACATGGAAATCCTCGTAATCGCCGCCATCCTAAACACGTCTCTAATTGAAAAACTATCAAAGAAAGTAGCCAAAAATAATACATGGGCAGGAGCTGGAATGGGCTTCGGTGCTGGTGCAGGATCAGCGGCCGGAGCAGCTGCAGCAGCTGGCTGCTGTTGGGCAGTGGCAGATTTGCCGCCAGTCGTACCGCCACCCGTCTGGCGACTGTCGTCCTCTTGACTGTGACCTACAAAAACGCCAAATGAAGGCACCAAAACAGTAGATAAGTATCTATCGCACTCAATAAATCCGACTAACCTTTGCCTTTCTTGCATAAAACAAGATTGCTAATCATCAAAACTGCTATAAATATGAATAAAACTATTCCAGCGAACTGAAAATAAACGGCACGTCGACCTGGTCAGAAAGAAATGTAGTGGTGAGATTTTCTCTCTTACCAGCATCCTGCAAAAGACACCGCACGGCAGACGCTTTGGAGTGAAACAGCCTTACTCAACCNTACCTTGAATGATAATTCCAGCTATCAGACGCAAACCAACATAAACATTTTATCAGCCATATGCCTTGTAATCTGCTGGTAAGCTTCTATTTCAGCCTACAGTCCTATCTTGGATTGGTTGACCCAAATCGCATCTGCAGAACATTTGGGCTCAACTTGCAATACTTACACGAACGGATAAAGGCCGCCCCAGAGATGGGTGGAACATCATTTTGCCCTCCGAGGCTCTGAAGGAGTAGAGACCAAACCCACACCTGCCACATGGGGTAGGCCCATCATGAATATCACAATGTTAACAGCTCAACACGTTCAGCCCATTTTTTATTCTTTTCTTATGACTATTGTCGAATTGACATTGAGGAAAAAATGAACGCTGCTGAACGACTACGACAAAATATAGAGAGCACAGAAAAAGAGGAAGAGAGAGAGATGGAAATCTTTTCTTTTTATGATGGGCTCTTTGTAATAGTGACCAATTTGCATAAAACTCTGAGGATGCATGACATCCAATAAGAATGTGTTAAAACATGATGAAGACAAATGGAGAATGAGACATACAACGAAGTTCAAGTGATTGCAAGTCGCCGGCGATTGAGCAAGCACAAACCTGAAATATCCACTTCATTTTTTACAAGGTCTAACGACAGGGCTCAAAATTTAGAGGCATATTTCAATGTTAGGGCAAAAGGGCCATCGCGCAGCTGAAAGACGGCGAGGAACCTAATTCACGGTTGTTGAGGCTTGGTAGAAATACGCCGGAAATGTAAAGACATGTTGGAACCCTGCTTTCAGGCATACAAAGAAGCCGCTGAGAACTCTAGTCAGAACCCTAGGGTATATACCCACAACATGACTCACTCACCCCGCATCTTCCTACCTTGGATGCCCTTCAGAGGTCTATGGGAGTGTCAAAAAGATTGTGCAACATGGCGACTGCCCCATTGAAAGTTGCCTCTAGAAGCACATTTGATCAAATCACTCACCTCACAACGGTGGCATGCGAACGTCCAGGAACGACCGAGACTCCGCAGCAGTAATAATAACGATAAATAACTGAATGATTTCGCATTCAACTAACAAGGCACGCGAGAAACAACAACAACAGAACGGTCAGGGCGTACGTGACTTTCGAGACGACGCCAAACGTGTGTCCTACTAGTCAACAAAAACACAACACAGAGAAGATGAACGACAAATAGGGAGCGCAAAAAGGCTATGTGTAGAGAGAGAGAACTCAGGGAAAAAAGAAAAAAGAATAAGATTAGGTGCGTCTCGAAAAACGCCTGCAGAGAATTCAGCATCAACACACAAATACGTGAGAATGAAGAAGATAGGTTGCTGAATTTGAAAAAAAA